CTCTTAATGGCCAATTACAATAATTTTTTTTTTCAAAATTACAAACGTGGTTTGTAAAATTACGACATATGTCATGGAAATTTTTTACGTAACTCTACAACTTTTTTTCACAGTGTGAGAACGACTTTGGTCGTCTCCTGACGAAATATAGCAAAATATTTCCAAATCGAAATTCATTCCTTGGGTTTCCTGGATATGTCACTCCAGAAATGCAATGTGCCTCAGACGACTATTCCCTTAAAATTGTACGGAATTTGGCAAAGTCCGCATGAACTCAGACATTAGGAACGTACTGGAGTTCACATTTTGACCATTTTAACAGCTCTAGTCACCTACTGTTGCAGTATTCTTAGGTTTTTAGTGTTGCACCAGGTACTGTTAGTGCTTTCGAGTATCTAGATCAGGGTGGCCACCAGAGTCCGGAATCTACGCCCGAACCTCACTCGTTCTCACTCGCTCGGCTCTGACGCCCGACCCGCTGTTTCCCACTCGCTCTCGGTCAGTCCCACTCGCCAGGGATGGAAACGGTAATGAAATTATGTTATAGCCTTTTTGGCTCCTGTTCAAAAGCTATGTGACTTAATTAACTTTCGACACCGTGCATTGGTAGAGTAGAAAAGGATTCATCTGATCCCATCAGGGTTGTTCGCAATATGTGCTTAACCTAGGAGTTGTGGCAACTTTTATCTAAGAAATTAAATTACCGGCACCCTAATATAATTTCTTGCGAAAAAGTGGCCACATCTCCCCCGAAAAGGAAATATTGTGGGCAACTCCGTTTGGCTGGGATAGAGCCTTTTCTTATATATTGCGGCACGGTGTCGAAAGTTCAGTAAGGCCCGTAGTTTTTGAACAGGAGCTAAAAAGGCAATAATATAATTTCATTACCGTTTCCATCCCTGCCACTCGCTTCCACTCGCCGAGATCCGAGCGTCTCAACGAGTCCCGTCTGCAGGCCAGGTGTGGCTTGGCATGGCGCGTAGGCAAAGTCGGTCCAGAAAAAACTAATGTTACCGAGGTAACGTTTCATCATGTGACCAAGCCCGGTAACGTTTCCTGATGCAACCTACCCCATGCAACGGATAGGGCCATCACAAACTGGTTGCATCACCAAACGTTACCTGGTTTGGTTGCGTCTAGAAACGTTACCTCGGTAACATTAGTTTTTCCAGTGATGCCACGCCCTCAGGTGACCGGCAGGTGAGACCCGGTCACTCAAACGAGTCCCGTTCGTTCGGGTGCATTCGGCGAGGTTCGGCACATCGCCATCGCTACCTCGGGTTTCTCGCTCTGTCTTTCACGCACACCTACTGCGCACGGCGCGCGCTCAGAGTGGGACCCGTTCGGGCGTGGATTCCGGCCTCTGGTGGCCACGCAACCTGGAAGTCAGGGAATTTAGGGAAAAGTCAGGGAAAAAAATATTGGTCAGGGAAGTCAGGGAAAAGTCAGGGAAATTGGACCTTGGTCAGAGAAAATGACTAAATCTTGCCCGAATTTGTTGTTTTCAAACTTTCGGTGGCATTTTTAATTTTTGGGGAGGCAAAAAGTACCACTTAAAATATCTTTAAAAGTCAGGGACTTTGCGTAAAAAGTCAGGGAAAAGTCAGGGAATTTGATAGCTCCGATTGCGTGCCGACCCTACACTGTTTTTTGTTTTGCAATGATCATCGCAATTTCTTGGCAATGAAAACGCCTTCATTGCCACTGGATCAGCAATGAAGCGCATTTTTGGCAATGACCCATTTCCAAAC